TGCTTTTCTTGGTTGGGAAGGGTAAGAGAATTGTAGTGTCGGTCTTATATCAATGACAAGAAAATACTGCTTATTTGCCACAATTGGCAAGATGCAAAATATTTATTATTTTTATCTTGTAGCAATGCCAAAAATAATAATAAACTGTATTACACGAAAGTATAATAAACATTTAAAACAGCAACATTTCTCTACTGTTGAAGACCTGTGAAATTCCATGGTCTTAAGCAGCAAGTTTTCATTGTAATAATGTGATGAACAATTAAGTTAAAATCTGAAAGGCTGTTAAGTATAAACACTGGAAAGAATTTCTGGGAGGTAAGAAAGTATTACTTAATGTTAGAGAAATAAGATTAAGTGTGATGACAAAATTCTTCCTCCTATACAAAGATGTTAAATTAAAGATGGTAACATATATCTGAAGGAAACACCTGAATATGAAAAAGAATTATTTTACTATTTTCAAGGTAAAAGAGGAGCTAAATCAAAACCATCATATAGTAGATGAATACAAATAAGCAAAAAAAAGAATGATAAAATGATAAAATTATTTGCATTTAAAAAAGATTAAAATTATTTCATCTACTATACTTTAGAAACTGATTCTAAAAATATATGACTATACCTGTGTGGTTAAGGGACTAACTTTTTGGTAAAGTATCAGATATTTATAAGGCACAGGAGATACCAACTTTACTGTTTCCTAAAAATGATTAAGTTATATTCTTTGATGTAATGATTTGCAGTCAAGTAACCAGGTACATTAAGTTAGATCAATTTGATAAAATATCTAAAAGCAGTCTGATTCTTCTTTATATTTAAAATACTGAATACATTCATTGTAGTTTAAACTAAATAGAACCCAAGACACTTATCCCAATGACTACAAATCACGCAGTTACATCAACCCTGTGGTCTAAAGCCTCTGAATGGGACCAACTTTTAAAAATAATTACTTACCACATTTTGGTTAATAAGATGTGCCACAAATTTTGAAGCAGTCAGACAAAGTTGCTGAAAAGTAGAGATAAAGACCAAGTTAATCTTAAACTAAATCTAATATTTTTTATCTACAGCATCTATAGTCTACTAACTCAAAATATGTAGCATAAAGACAATTTTTTTTAAAGAAAGTTACAAGAGGAACCAGCAGATTGTGTAATGGCTACGTTGCTGGACTCCCATGTAGTCAACCATGGTTCAAGTCCCAGACCTGGTGGATTAAACTCATGCTGGGCATGTGTGCATGTGTGCCCAACAGCCTGAGAGGAGAATGGAGAAGAAGGTATTGTGGCGTGGCCATCTCCCCTGGGGGCTGTTTCTCTGTCTTGTCTCTGTCTTTCTGGTGAGCGCAAATGCCCTACAGCAAAAACCTCTCACCCCGAAAAAGAAAGTTACAAGGTAGAAACAAAACTGTGAGAAAGTGCCATTTCTGGGTACGTGGTTATAATTCTAAAATTATATCCATATTTGTGGTCATCATTAGGAGCCAGGGATATTTAATAGAACAAAAAAGGTTCTCATGAATTAGTTTTTAAAATACATTCCTACACAGAAATTAACATTGCTTCCTTTAATTCATATGGTTTTATTATTCATTTCGATATGTTAGTTTACTTAAAAGCCTTTCATATATACCTTATCATTTCTTCGATATCCTTTACGAAAGTTAAGTATTAGCCTCTTGAGAATTAATTCTCCAATTTGTGGAAATTTTGAGTTGATAATTGCTACTAATGCTGCATAGACATGGGTGAATATTGGAGAAGCACTCTGTGCTTGCAAAACAGATCTGGACAGCAGGCCTCTGTTCAAAAAAGAATCAAAAAAGAAAAATAATAATCACCAGTATAATTAAACTCATACTTTCATTCCATTTTTCTACAAACTATCTGAAGTCTCAGCTTGGTATTTCTCTGAAATAATAAGAAAAGCTAATTCAGGATTAAGTTTTCACTACTTTATCTAGGAAAAGAGTTTGTCTTACTAAGAAATAAAAACTGCTTTTGATAAAACAATATTTTAATTTATACTTTTATAAAATAGAATGAAATTTAACTACAACTTTGTCTTCCAAGTTTTTCTCTCTAAATCTAATCCTGTAGTTTGGGCAGACTGAGGCTGAGAATAATAGATTAAGGTATGAAGACCCTGCTGAAAATGCCTATTTCTGTGTGTATTTGTGTATGTGTGTTTGTCTGTCTGTACCTCTCTCATATGGAAGAAATAAATGAATACACTTAAAAAATACAAACAGAACTACTATATAATGCAGCAGTTCCATCACTCAGCATGTGGACATAAAATCAGTATGCCAAAGAATGATGTGCACCTCAATATTCACTGCAGCATTGAACCCAGATATGAAAACCACCTAAGTGTACACTCATGGATGAGAGGATAAAGGAAATGTGGTTTATACATGACTGAATACTATCCAGCCCTGAGAAAGAAAAAGTTAAGAAAAAATTCCTTCATTTGTAACAAAACGGATAAATCCAGGGGATGTTATTATACTAAATGTAATAAGCCAGACACAAAAATCACAAATACAATATGATTTCACTCATACGCAGACTAAAATTGTCAAACGAATAGAAACAAAGTAATGGGGCCAGCAGGTGGCATGGTGGTTAGGGGCACTGGACTCCCACATTGCCAACGCTGGTTCTATTCCCAGACCTAGTGGCTTGCTTTCTCATTTTCCCTCTCTTTCTATCTCACTCTGACCCTCTCTGGTCAAATTAAAATAAATAAATAAATATAGTTAAATAATTCTTTAAAAAGAAAAGATACTAAGTAAAACGGTGGTTATTAAAAGCTAGGCGTGGGAGGTAGATTTGGAGAATTAAGAAGACAGACTAAATATTTTCATTAGAAGGAGTAAATTTAAGGGACCAGCAGTTAGTGTAATGGCTATGTTGCTGGACTCCAATGTAGTCTACCGTGGTTTGAGTCTAGGAACCAATGGCTTAAACTCATGCTGGACATGCGTGTGTATGTGCCCAAGATCCCAAGAGAATGGAGGAGAAGGGATTGTGGTGTGGCCATCTCCCCTAGGGGGGTGATTTCTCGCTTTCTGTGTCTCTCCCCTGTCTTTCCCACGAGCACACACGCCCTATAGCAAAACCTCTCAAAAAAGAAAAGGAGTAAATTTAAGAAATTATTGTACATCACAGTGACTACAGTAAATAACAATGCATGTATACTAGAAAATTACTAAAAGTATATTTTAAAGTGTTCTCATCACAAAAGAGTAGCTAAGTCTGTGAGGTAATATACACATTCAATAGCCTGATGTAGCCATTTCACAACATATGCATAAATCAAACATTACATACTAAAAATACACACAATTTTTGTCAAAAAATACATTTTAAAAAATTAACTTGGTTTCAGGCAGTATATACTAATCATTCCTCATAATTTATATTACCAGAGACATTCAGTACATAGATATCTCCATAAAAATCACTATATTGAAACGTTTCAAAAATTAAAAACTCCATACGACCTCTAGTAGGGAGGTATATGTTATTTCTATTTTTTTAAATTCATTTTTCCCAAGTGTGAGAAAAAAGCACCCCCAAAGGAGACTTCATACCATGATCTGCCTCTAGCTTTGGCTAGCCTGGACCATGGGTGCATGCATACCTGGTGTGCATAAGGAAGCCCTGGGATGTGAACCACAGACTGTCCCACAGTGGTCCACTGCATTACAGATGCTCTACCCTCTGGCTCCTATGAGCTATGTCTTAGTGGCCTACATTTTTATAAAAATTGCATTTGAAATAAATTTCAAGTTTGAAATGAGGTAGCACAATAAATCAATGATGACTCATTTATAAATAATGTTCCTTTAAAAAAGTTACTAAGAAATACTACAAATGAAATACTTGATACTTACCTTCCTCTAACTATATTTTCTTGGAGAAGCTCTTGAATGATAATACTTATATTAGAAATGTTGACTTTATTGATAAGACCATTGATTGACTTCTTTAGGGCCTCCCAGCTCATCCTCTGGTATGCTAAGCTAAAAAGAATTGATTTTAAAAAGATTAAAACTTTGTCAGCATTTACAGTAACAAGAGGCTATAAGTAGAACATAAATATCACTTAGAGCTCCCTAATTTTTAATATTTTCACAAAATGACCTCAAAGTATAGTTAAATATGTGAGGGTTATAGGAATCGATAGATTATTTCCTTATAACACATTTGATTTTATGGACATAAAAATGCTTAAGTATAGACCACTTCACTTTAATCACAGTAAGATTAAATAAGGATCCACATGGTTATTTTGTTTTTATGTCCAGGTATACTGTGATTTATTAATTAAATTCAATAAATGCTTACTTTAAAATTTTAAGTTATAATATGAAACACCCAAATAAAAGCCACAAAGGAATTTTTTATCATGTCCCCTTTTACAAAAATATGACTGAAACAATAAAATATTTTAAACTATAAAGAAGTGTTTTTTTTTTTTTCTTTTTTTTTTTAGAGGTTTTTGATATAGGGCACGTGTGCTGGCCCAAAAGACAGAGAGAGACAGAGAGATAGAAAGCGAGAAATCAGCCCCCGGGGGGATGGCCACACCGCAATCCCTTCTCCTCCATTCTCCTATCGGGATCTTGGGCACGCACACAACACACACCCAGTGTGAGTTTAAGCCACCGGGTCCAGGACTTGAACCATGGTTGACTACGTGGGAGTTCAGCGACATAGCCATTACGCTAACTGCTGGTCCCCAAGAAGTGTTAATAATTCCAGGAAAAGGGCAAGTCACATGGAACAATGGGGCTGAAATACTAGTAGCTTTAAGTATTTTGACGACCACTTCTACATTTATGCAATAGTCCTACGGCTACACTAGCCGAATGCTAGATGGCTATACTGGTTGTTAACTAAGATTTTGGATAAATTATTTCAATTCAAAGGATTTCTTTAAGTTGAACTTAGTATTGTTGAAAGTCCTATAATTCTATGGGTTTTATAATTATTTCTCTGTGGAATCTGATTTCTGCTGCAAGAGGTTTTAACCTTTTTTCTTTCACTATACCTTTCCTGACATCTAGTGAAGCAGACAGACTTCTGGAAATAACATACACAATATACAGGATTAATACCAATCATATTGAAATAGTTTTCAAAGACTGCAATGAACAGTAGATTGATAATGTACTCTGTGTGCTTCTTAATGCACTAAATAAAAAGTGGTGGTAAGCCTCAAAACTAATTTCCAAATACAAAGCCATAAGAAATATGATGAGATATCTGCAATGAACTGGCTATTCTTATTGCAGTGTATTGATGATATTCCCAATAGAAAGAAAAGCTAATTTTTTAGAAATTAGTAAAATAAAGATGCGATTTTCCTTCCTATATACATTCATTAATTGATTGCCAGAAATTCTGTCCTCAAAGGTCTGTAGGTAAAGAATCCCTGCTCTAGAGTGGTAAACAAAGTGGTGAGAGAAGTTCCTAGTGGAGAAAAGCACTGTTATCACTGGCATTGTTTAGAACAATAAGAAACTGACATGGCCAGCAGACAATGAGGATGGTTATTTTTTATAAATTCTCTATAAATTGTATATTCCATTAATGTCTGGACCCAAGGTGAACTACTCCGTCTTAAAACTCCAACTCTTGTTATGCCTTTATCTCTAGAGATTTAAGATCTATGGCTTCCCAACTGGCCTGACTGAAAAGATATTGCTGAATGTAATCACACCTTTCGTGTTCAACTAATTTGGAGTATTAATGTTTAAAGGGAATTCCACTGCATTCCAAAAGTATGTACAATCATTATGTGTCAGCAATGTATAAGATTTTAAGAAAAATCACTGTAAAACACTAGAATGACAGAAAGTTCCTTATTATCGGATCAGCGGAAAAGTCATTTTCGCATAAAAAAATTTTTGCACTTTTTGCATTTTGCATAAAAAAATACATCATGACTTTCCCGATGACCCAAAAGTTTTCAATTTATGTCACCTAATGATCCTTTCTAGCTGTCAGATGTTTTTGTTTTATTTCAATTCTTCAGAATTTATTTTATATAAATGATTTATACTTAGTTAATTCCTGAAACAATTTAAGTCTCTTTTATATAATGTTCTTAAGCACTTTTGAAGCTGCCATTAAAATTTTTATGAAAAGATCCACGTGGGAACAGTCCTCAGTTCACCTTGAATCTGTTTTTCTTGAGGTTAGTTACCTTTTATCCCAACATTTTTACTAACTATCTAAAACTGAGTGATCATTTTAATCTGGAACCATACCTTCCTTATTTACCCTCTCATTTCTCAAGTGAAAAAAAAAATCTTGAAAACAGCTGTAGTTCCCTAAGTGGCTCTTCACCATCCCAATTACTTTAGAAGATAAGGAAGGTTGTTTTGAGTGTGAATGCTCACACGTAAATTCTGTCTGTTTGCCTCAGAGTAGCAAAAAAGTTTAATCTAAGATATTATGGTCTAAAGAAAAGGAGGAAAAAGAGAAAACTGACCATTTAGTTTTATAGATTAGTAGAGGCTGGCAAACTACATCACAAGTTAAATGCAACCCACCAATTTCCGTACATAAAGCTTTACTGGAACAGAGCCACACTTGTCTGTTTACACATTACCTCTATTTTTACACAATGGTGAAGTTGGGGAACTGCAGAAAAGACAGAATGACCTGCAGCCTGACATACTCACTATCAGGTCTTTTACAGAAAAGTTTGTTGATTCCTGGGTTACCACAGCTAGAAAGATCCACCTTAGATCTAAAATATCAACAGTATTCTTGATTATGTATGAAAAATGAACACAAACAACAGGCAAGCATGTAACTGTAATAAGGCCAATAGTTTGAAGAAACTAAGAAAGAAAGATAATCTTTTCTTCAAATTTTTAAATTAATTCCTGAAAAGAACAAAGTTATGAGCTAATGTCAAAATACTATGCAGTGCTACAATGGAATTTAAGAGAGAAAAGAAAGAAAAAACTCTCTACTTTGAGGTCTCTACCATGTGAGCTAATGCAAGGTCTAAGCAGTTTATGTAAATTAGACCGTGGCTGACTTTTTTCCAATGATGATACCACTGGCTTACACACATAGTGATATTGACATGCCTGTTTTTGTCTGTAATCTGTTCTTGCATCATCCTGAGCTTTGCAGGAGGAATATAGGCTCCACCAGTGCGGGTGAGAAGAGGATCCAGCTCATCTTTCTTTTTCTTTGCAGTCGGTTCATCCTGAGCAGAGGAACTCTGGGTTACTGGTGGTTCTGGGCTTCTTCTCCCAGGAGATGGAGATTTTCGGGACCTTTTCCGATCCATATCTCTTTCTCTTTCTCTTTCTCTTTCTCTTTCTCTACGTTTTTCTCGGTCCCTACTTCTGTAATACATTTACCAAAAAAAAAAAAAGATAATTTAAGGTACATTCTTATAATAAACTGCATAACAAGTAAATGAAACCATAAGTAGACTCCACAAATTCAGAGTAGGGAAATAAAGTTATTTACAATGGTAAGGAAGTGCTTCACAGAGAAAGTTTAACTTAAACTAGTATTAAAGGTACAAGAGAATTTAGATTGGGGCAAATGGGAAAGAAGGTATGGAAGTGGAAGGATTACACTTTGCAACTAGTAGAAGAGGGAATAACTAGAGAAAAACTAAGCGTTGAGGCCAGAATGAATAGAACAATCAGTAAACAATGAAGACCCATGAGTTACAGAAACATAGCATTAATTGAAGCAGATGTGAAGTGGCCCTTTCCAAAGGTAAAAGGTCCACATAGAAATCTCACTTTGCTGCCCAACCAAAGTGAACAAGTCAACCTGAGACTCCAATCTAAAAGTGCTCATTAGGCTCTAAAATACATATACGTATATAATATATAACTCATACACATATGGGCATATATGTGTACATCTGTATGTATACAAAACATCTGGTAGGCTGAACAGTTCCTAAACCATAAAATGTAGACAGAAAGGAAGCTGTGAGAGAAGGAAGAAAGGAAGGAAAGGCTTTATATTCCAGCTAGGATAGTTACTGTCAAAGATGCTCCCCCAACTCACAATACCTTGAAGCCCCAGTATTTACTCCTTTGTATAGTTCCATCCCCACAAATGTGGGATGGCTCTATTTGACTAGAATATGGCAAAAGTAAGTTTGTAACACCACCACACGACCTGCCTGCCCAGATAATAGAAGTTATTTTTAAACCTAAACAATCTAACCAGTCACACAGCATCCTCACTTTATGAGGGAAGAAACCAGTAAGTTTTCTTACCAAATTTATGTAAATAGTAATTAGAATTTAAATTCCAATCTACATTTAAACTCTAATCTACTACAGAGCACTGCAAAGAAACTAAAACATAGATATCCCAAAGTCAATTTAAAATCATTAGTACATTGTGTGTATCACTCCTACTTGCCTGATAAGCATGATTAGATGCAAGTTTGAATAAAGTATTATACATATAGTGACTTCTGTTTTAAGTAATTGAGAAGATTTCCATCTCCTAACAAATTCCAGTTCACTCTTTTCTCTCTACTGAGCACCTGTAACATCTAGCCATCTACTTTCTTTGACACTACCTGAGGATTTCTTTTCCAGATGCAGTAAATAACTGTATTTGCTCTACTATATTTTTTCCTGGGCAAATACAGAGGCCCATTAACAAGGGAGGGGGACTTTTTAAAAAGAATTATCTTATTAAACTGTGTTTATTTAATTGGACCAGAGAAGGACAGAGGGAGAGAGAGAGAAAGAGAGAGGAAGAGGAAAAGTGAGAAAGTAAGGTGCCAAGTCCAGTACTCGAACTGCGGTAAGCCATGTGGGAGTCCAGTGCCCTTGATCACCATGCCACCTGCCTACCTGGAAAAAAGTGTTTTTAACCTTTTTTTTCCCATAGGTTTTTGTCACAGAGTGTATGGGCTCACCAGAGAGAGCCTGAGGGAAGAAACATGAGAAATCACCTCTGAGGAGGGATAAAAATGTTTTATCTCCTCTCCTCCATTCTCCTCCTGGGATTTTGGGCACATATGGACACATGTCCAGTCCAGGGCTCAAAGTGCAGTCAGCCTATCTGGGAGTCCAACACTGTTGGTATACACAATCTGCTGGTCCTCCTTTAGTAAATGTCTAAAGAGAATTTTAAAACTATGACTTTCTAATATTCTTATTGTAGAAGTTATTAGTAACTTCCCCAAGAGAGAGAAAGAATAAAATTAAGTATGGATCATTAAGAAGTTATAATACTCTGCCTAGTTTTTAGTAAAACATGAATAGTAAGTACTTGTTTGTGAGTCTTTTCAAATATTGCCCCCAAAGTTTCCAAATACCCTCATTCCAATGTTCTTCACTTCAGAGAGGAGTTTATCTGGCCTCCATTCTCTCCCCTTCCCCATCCTCAACCTGGTTAATGTTGCAGGTCCTGTTAGCCAGAGGGAAAAGTGGGCAGCCAATTCCTCAAGACTTCAAGAGAGAACCATTGATATTTAGGGAAAAAAAAACTACAAATTGGGAACTTCATTGTCATTGTCTCTCTGCCATTACTCAGGAAAGGAAATTTAGATCACTCTACATCATATAATATGAATTCTTTCATTTCGAATGTCAAAGTAAAAATCTCATAAACCAACTACTTTTGCAGTACAGTCTAATGAATAGAGCTTGGCCTCTGGAGTCAGTCAGACTTGGGTTTACCACTGTTATATTCCAGGACCATAAAAAAATTGATCTACTTCTCTAGGCTGTTTCTTTCGCTATTGAAAACAAACATAATAGTATCTAATTTACATTTTAATACAATAAAAGTTAATTCACATGAAGTCCTTATTAAAAAGTCTAGTACCCAAGAACATCTAACTAACATTAGCTGCTATTATTATTGTTTTCATTGCAAAGCATAAAGAAACTTTAAATGAATATAACTTTTCTACAGTTAAAATACCCAACACTAACCGCAACTCCATGCTATCATCATAAGAACGTCCTCTTCTTGAATGTTCATAGTCTGACCTGCCATAATCAAAGTAGTCTCTGTCTCGGGGGGATCGTTCTTGTTCTGAATACCTAACACATAAAATAAGAAAACCATAGATATAAGGATAAAACAACTATGTTATAAATGCTTAGGAAAGTCATATATTTGTAATGCTAAAGCAACTCTGACCGAATACCATGCTGTCAAACAGTGTTTACCAGTTCATTTTACTAACACCCATTATTGTCAGGATTATAAAAGCTCCAGTGTGTGCACAGCAAAAATACTAAAATTCATTTAACCAAACTTACGTGTGTGTCTGTGTGGAAAGAGATTTTTTTTTAATACAGTGAACAGAAGACTGATGAAATTAAGTAGTCACAAATCACAGTAGTTACGCTGACATCCACAAAGTAAAGTCTTTCATAGATATTTATCATAATGGAACACGAAAAAAGTACATAGGGAATAAGGGAAAGGTTAGCCTGCTAAAAAAATGTTTAGATAGTATTTCTGACTTTCTAAGTTATATTTACTGGTTTTACCTTATCAAGTGAAATAACTATAATCTACGAATCCATGATATGCACTTTTTTCTATTTTTGTTGTTTTGTTTTGCTATAGAGTATGTGCACTCATGAGAGCAGGGTGGGGGCAGAGTGAGAATTCACCTTCAGGGTGGTGGGGATGCCCACAACACAATCCTTTCTCCAGAAAGTTCCTGGGATTTGGGGCACGCACAAAGGCACCCAGCATGATTTCCAAGCTACTGGATCTGGAACTCATACCACAAAAGCGGCCATCTGCGATCCAGTGCCTTAACCTGCTGGCTTAATACATGCTTTAAAACATTTTTAGACTGTTGGGAACCAGCAGTTAGCGTAATGGCTATGTCGCTGGACTCCCCCGTAGCCGACCGTGGTTTGTGTCCCGGACCTGGTGGCTTAAAACTCACGCCGGGCACGTGTGCATGTGTGCGTGCCCAAGATCCCGAGAGGAGAATGGAGGAGAAGGGATTGCGGCGTGACCATCCCCCCGGGGGGTGATTTCTCGCTTTCTGTCTCTATGTCTCTCTCTGTCTGTCTGGCAAGCGCACGTGCCCTATAGCGAAAACCTCTCCAAAAAAAAAAAAAAAACATTTTTAGACTGTTGATCGTGACATAATTTTAATATAATAATGAATACAAAGATATTTTGTAAATTTAAAAAGATATGCATTAAATGTAAAGGATAGCAATAATGTCAAAAGCAGTAAGTACTTCAAAATACTGCAATTTTAACTTATCTTTCCATTTTATAAACTTTCATTCTCTTAGTATTTGAGATATTAAAATTATTCCCTGGCACCTAAAAAAATTATACAAAATCTATAATTTTTTTACTAGAAACTCTTAGAACATACATTCAAGGATGATTTATTCTAAAGCTCACGCAAGTAATATTGGGTATAAAACAATTATATAGAAGATGAGGGACAGACGGTGGCAATCCCAAAGGGGAATGTTCCTGGTTCAAGTACAGAGAGCTCCCTGAGAAGATGGGTACACACTTGCCTGTGATCTGGGGCTGGCTGAAGGCAGGGAGTGGATCCTGACATAGAGACCCTCTTGGGGGGGGAGGGCTTTCTGGCTATTTTTTCCTCTCTCAAGAAATAAACTTAATAAAAAAGAGAGAGGGAGGATGTTCACCCTAAAATTAGGAACTTAAGCTAAACCATCATACAAATTTATAAAAAGTTTAATTTATTTTCAGAATATATAAAATTGCTTACCTGTCTTCTGGAGAGGAGGTCCTCTGATATGAATTATAGTTTTCTCTTCTATCATGACCAGAGGAATGCTTTCAAAGGGGCAAAAAGGAGGGAGAAAATATTTTAAAACTTATTCATGTTAAAAAATATATAGGCAATAAAATATATCACTCAGAAAATTAGAAGTACTTTAGAATTTATATCTAAACATATTTTTGAATAGGAATTAATTCATGTTACCTAAATAGTATATAAGATAAAATTTTCAGGCATCCCAGATAAGTCTGTGTCAAATATCTGTTTGCACTATGGACAAACTACTTGTCTTTACCCAAAAAAAAAAATTCAATGTAGAAAGTAGATATTTCTCAAATTTTTAATGATACTAATTCATATGTTATTCCTATGTAATAAGATACAAATTTATAGAGTAGTATTTTTATAAAGGCGCCTCCTGGTGAAAACAAGACCAAGGTGTGAGGTTTCCTATCAATAGCTCACGTCTGTGGTTATTCACAGGTGTTAATGACACTGCACTTAACCTATCTCCTTTAGCTTATGAAAACTATGACTTTAATAAAGGTTACTAAATCTGGATAAAATAAATGGTTAGAAGAAACTGACTCTAACATACTTATAAAAAAATATTTTTGTTTTCAACAAACATTTGAGTATCTTGTATGTGTGGAACTATGCTAGCTAGGCTCTAGGGTACTAAAAAACATGACCCTTAAAAACAGGTTCTATGCCAAGTCCTTTGAAAACTAAGCAACATACAAGTAACTTCATACAACATGACAATGATGAAATAAGTGACATGAGTCAGAGATACGAACCTTCCAACTTAAGAATACACCCTAATTTAAAAATACAAATATATTAAATAAACCATAATAGTTATCTCTATAGATAGGCAAAATCATTTTATAACTAATTAGTATTGGTATTGACAAGTTTTTAAAAAATTAATTTATTTAGCTTTATTGTAAGAAAGAAAAAATGTTTTTTTACAGTACTTCAAGAAACGTAAGAGAAAAATCAATGAGTAACTTGTTCTGTATACTTACATGATTATCTCCTTAATGAGAAGATACATTTAAAATAGAAATTTTTATGAACAGAAATGAAAACAAGCTCCAACTTCCTCTGATGACTAGCTAATTAACAGCAGTTTGAGTCTATCATTATCACAAATAAATTGCCAAAACAGTCTCATTAACTACTGAATATTTTGAATCACATACACTAACTAGATTGATGTAGGCTAATATGCAGGTATGAATGTAGGTAAATAAATAATCAGGATTATTTATCATTTAAAATAGCTATAATTTGGCTGTTATTCTACACTAATTAAAATTCTATTTCTAATACCTATAGAAAGCTTGAAAAATTATCTCAACTTAGCAACACGGTGAAGTAGAATTCTTTAATGTAGAATGCTTTAATGTGGATGATAGGTTTCCATAAAAGTCACATTAAGATATATATCCTAAGCTAAATACAGAACATAAAATTCATTCAATTCAATGGTAGTATTTATTGATCATTTATTATAAGGTATAGGTCTTTACTGTGTAAACATTCTGAAGGGTACCAAAGACAAGACCCTCAAGGAACTTATGATCTTGTAGGATACGGTTACACAGATTTCTACAACTAAACATAACAGATTATGTTCCTGAAAATAGGACACCAAGAACAATATAATCACAAGGCAAGGCAATTATTGTGATTACATTAGGGAGAGGGCCTCAATTCTGTACTAATGAATTTTAACACATCTTGGCAACATCTGTTGTGAGCAAGAGAGAGAAACCAAAAATACTGAAGAAGTGAATCAGAAGGATTTCATAAATATAATCAAGTAACAAATGACTGACAGGCATAGTAAGTGCTGACAGGTGATCTTGAGCAGTGGTGACAGTGGGGCAAAAGAGGACTGGAATTTGACTTTATTGGATGAACAGAATTTCACTAAGTCCAAATTCATTTGGGAAACGATTCAAATATTAACCTGATTTTCTTATTTCCCTTATCACAGAGTTTAGATATGAGTCAGTACAGCAATGGAAAATAACATATATTCAAAATAAACTTTAAAAATTCTCTAAAGTGGGGGGCCAGCAAGTTGTGTGGTAGTTGGAGAGCTGGACTCACACATGGTTGACCGAGGTTTGGGTCCAAGACCTGGAGGCTTACTTTCTCACTTTTCCTCTCGCTCCTCTCTCTGTCCCTTTCTGGTCAAATTAAAAATAAACAAAACAAAACAAAAACAATAAAATTTTAAAAAATTCTCTAAATTGTACATTAAACAAAATAAATATGGCACACCACACAGTTGCTTGGTCTTTACACAAAAACAGCAATATGAGAAAGCCATTAAGGCAGGAAAACCAAGTGCAGTGGCTTTGAGCATCCACTAGGACCAATGTCTTCCAAAATGATGGGAAAGAGGGCACGAGAAGAGGTGAGGCACTCCAGCTAGCTAAGGAAACTATAGGAAGGATCAAGGGGAAAACACGATCCTCAGTTTAAGCCTTATGAACCTAACAGATGAGTTCTCCCAGTAAGGGAAGATCTGAGCTTCTGTTGAAGTAAGAATGAACCCACTTTTACTCGGTTGTCAGAAAAGTCATGACATGGTGGCCAGTAGGTGGTGTGGTAGTTAAGGCGCTGGACTCACATGGTTGACTATAGTTTGAGTCCCATACTTGGTGGCTTGTTTTCTCACTTTCTCTCTCTGGTAAGCACACATGCCTTATAGCAAAATTAAATAATAATAAATACAATTAAATAATTATCTTTTAAAAAGTCATGATGTACTTTTTCTATGTTTTTCTTTGCAAAATTGTGTCATGACTTTTCTGACAGTCTAATACTTAGCTGTGGCTAACAGAAAGGGGAGGTAAATGGCCAAGCCACGAAATATAAAGGGCATGCTGTCCGAAGTCACTCACTCCTATGCTAGGGGGGTGCCACAGAAGACTCATCAAGACCACAAGAAAGAATCCCAGAGCAGCAGTGTCAAAGAGAAACAGGAAGAGGTGGCTGGAAAGACTAGACATTTCTCCCTGAGTAAATGGTATCAGTCTAAATATCTGAGTGCTCTTCTTTAATCTGACTCAGTCAAGACTCATTTCTATACAAGGTCTCCTTTGTCAGCTCCTAACACACAGTCTAACACCTACTGCACCCTCAATAAATTAACTGTTCATGCAACAATGGACCAGAGGGTACACATCTGCACACACGCCCGTATGTTCTCTCAGCTGCCCTCTTGCACACTATTACTCCCATCTGTCCAGTAACTACAATGAAAACTGTGCAAGTTAAGAGTATGCACAGTGCTACTCTACTATCTAGTTCTAATGTCTTAATTATACAAGTTCATTTTTGTTTAATAACAAGTAATTAAATATAAGTTTATATCATCGATTGTAACTTCCAAACACTTACTTTTATCTGTGCCACACTACTTTTCATTTTCTGTTGCTAGTTGATCCAATAAATCAAAGACTTGGTCCAAATAATAAGTATCCGATGGTTTGAATTCCTTGACAGTTTACTTTTTGTCTGTAAACATCACCTATAAAATACACCAAAGGAAAAAAAAAATACACCAAAGAAAGCTTTGTTAATACTGGCAAAATGTACGAGAAGTAACAATATATTCTTTTTTTTTTGAGAGGTTTTCCCTACCATGTGCACTCACCCACTCACCAGAAAGACAAAGAGAAACATAAAGACAGAAAGCAAGAAATCACCCCCCAGGGGGGATGGCCACACTGCAATCCTTTCTCCTTCATTCTCCTCTCAAGATCTTGGGCATGCACACAAGCGCCTGCCAGGTCCACGACTCGAACTGCGGTCAACTACATGGGAGTCTGGCGACATAAGCCATTAGGCCAACTGCTGGTCCCTATTCTTTCTACACAATGGATATTTGACCTTATTTTTCTTAGTCAATAAGTACAGATATAATTAACAAGTAAATGTAAATTTTAAAAATCTTTAAATAGTTCTACAGAACAATGTATACCTAACAAATATTAGTGGAAAAGACTCTATGAACAAGAGAACAAATAGGTTTTACCCTAATGACTGAGAGGAACAGAAATTAAAGACAGATGTCTTCTATCTTTACTGAAAATGTTCTGTAAGGGAGACCTACACCCACGTCGTAAGATAGTATTGTGATATTATTTTTAAAAATGAACTGAGGAGGGACCAGCACTTGGCGTAATGGCTATGTTGCTGGACTCCCATGTTGTCGACCGCAATTCGAGTCCTGGACTTGGTGGCTTAAACTCACACCAGGCGTGTATACGTGCGTGCCCAAGATCCCAAGAGGAAAAAGGAGGAGAAAGGAGTGCGGCATGGCCATCCCCCTGGGGGGTGATTTCTCGCTTTCTGTCTCTCTGTCTTTCTGGTGAGCGCACGCACCCTATATATAAAGTAGGTATAAAATATCCAATATTGCTAAATAAACTATTCAATATTCTTATAATAACAATCATTCAGAAATAAGTAATACTTCACATGGAAATAAAAGGTACTAAACTAAAACAATTATGTCTCAATGAGATCTATTAAAGGCAAAAGGTTTCAAATATATATAATAAGAATAATTTGGCTCAGAATAAACCTAGTCCTTAACTTTAAATTCTAAAATGTCTTTTTAGGTCTTTCTGTTAAGTAAATTTTAGTGATTTCTACAAAATGTTAAATCGATAGTTATGTTTACACAGACTTGCCATTCAAGCATTTTTTATATTATTATTTATTTTATTTATTCATTTGTTTTAATTTGACCTGAGAGAGACAAGAGAGAGAGAGAAGGGGAAAGTGAGAACGCAAGTCACCAGGTCTGGAACTTGAACTGCAGTTGGACATGCGGGAGTGTCCAGTGCTCAATCACCATGCTACCTGCTTGCCCCTAAGCATTTTATTGGAATTGCAAATCTGCATGGTTTATAAGGTAATAAGATCATACCAAACAATGAAAATAAGAAAATAAAAGATGTAGAGAATGGAAAGAAAGATATTCAATTTCAAAATGACTGAATACAACTAGGAAACAATTTTTAAGTACTAGAAAAAGTATTGCAAGACCAGCTAGTGGCATGATGGTTCAGGCTGTTGGATCCCATGTGGCCAACTCTGCACTTCAGGCAAGCACCCCTGGTGTGTGTGTGTGTGTGTGTGTGTATGTGTGTGTGTGTGTGTGTGTGTAGGTGACCAAACTCTCATGAGGGGAAGGAGGAGATGGGATTGCATTACAGGGGCTGGCTCGCTTTCCCCACCCCCCCAGCAAGAACATATGCCTTATGGCAAATTTTTTTAAAAAGGATATTGCAGATCATCTGGTCCAATTCCTTCCTTTTTTTTTTGTTTCTTTTGGAGAGGTTTTTGCTATAGGGCACATGCGCTCGCCAGAGACAGAGATAGAGAGATAGAAAGTGAGAAATCACCCCCACCCGGGGGGGATGGCCACGCCGTAATCCCTTCTCCTCCATTCTCCTCTCGGGATCTTGGGCACGTACGCACACGCGCCCGGCGTGAGTTTTAAGCCACCAGGTCCAGGACGAGAACTGCGGTCGACTACGTGGGAGTCCAGCGACATAGCCATTACACTAACTGCTGGTCCCCAACTGCTTCTTTTTAAAGATGAGAACACTGAAAGTCAGATAAATCATTCTAACGGCCTAATTTATAACACCAGTTAAATAGTGAACCTGTAACTATATAGAAACCTAGCCTAAGGACAGCCACCCAATCGTATTCTTTTTACAAGACCACATCCACATAATTAATTTTAACAGTAAAAACTGATGTAGAGTTGCTAATGTGTAATGCAGATGGGAATGTACACAAATCACTAAATCAGGAAAAATCTCTAATCACAACCATTAGCAAGTTATCAAGGTTAATAAAGGTAATATACACAAGATTATTTACAAACTTATCACACTATGAAAAACAATTGCAATCTAAAACATACCACTTCTAAAAATCTAGTTAGGGCTGTCCATAGCACAGTAGTTAAGGAAGGCAGATCCCACATGGCTTACTATAGCTCGAAAAGTCAAGTGCACCTGCATGCATGCCTCAAATACCGACAGAATGGGGAAATGGAGAAAGGACTGTGGTGTTACCACACCCCATGGGGAGGGGAGGAGAACTCTTTTGCTGATGTGCACACACATCCTTTGGCAATGAAAAAACGAAAGGAATCTACGGCTGCAGTTACACAGACTAATGTGCCTACCTTTGGAAAATGAGCCACAGCAGCCGCCTTCTTCAATTAGTTACTACTGTATCAACAGTTTTGTGTAAATCTTAGTCTTATGTTTGGCTGGCAAGTTGTCCTAATTTTTTCTTTTTTAAGATCTACTTCACTTCTAAGGCTTAACAGTCATATCACTGACTAGCTTCTCTAAGACCTTATTAGGCCCACAACTTGACATTATTATTGGAACTCAGTTTGAGGGCAATTTTTCCTACTGGATGCTATCCCTCAGATAAACAACTGAGAAACTCTCAGAATAAGTTATGCAAAGTATTTCATAAAATCAGACTATCAGGCAATAGTAGGGAGGAAAGAGGCATATCCCTCTACCTTCAATAGTCTATTCTGACACAATGGAAGTTACAACTTTAATAAATCTGTTTTAAAAAGTCAAATTAAATGTTTCAGGCTGGCTGGTGATGTGGTAGTTAAGGTGCTGGACTTCCACATGGCTGACCACAGTTTGAGTCCTGCACCTGGCAGCTTGCTTTCTCACTCACTCTCTCTCTGTCTCTCTGGTAAAACTGAAAAATAAAAAAATATATATAAAAAACTCTTTCAAAAAATCTAAAATTTTTTAAATAAAAATAAATGTTTCAATGGAGAAAGAGGAAGCTTGAGAGTAGAAAGTTTTATATATACAATACTGACACTATTTTCCTATAAGAATTTTATGAAGGTGTTTCAATTCCCAGAACCACTAAGCAATGTGCAATTTATTTTATTTTATTTTATATTTTTGGCCAGAGAGCATATGTATTCACCAGAGAATCAGAAAGAGAGAGGAAAAAGCACCACTCCAAGTAGGCATGGTCTCACCATAATTCCCTCTCCATTTCTCCATCCATTTTGAAGCACGTACACATGAACCCAGCATGTTTTTCAAGCTGTCAGGGCCAATATTTGAATTAGGTCCACCATGTGGGATTTGACTCCCTCAAGCACTAGGCTACAGGGCTGGTCCCTTTATGTAACTTGAGGGGGAAAAAAAAGCACCTAGATGTCCCTGAAATAACTAAGAAGTTCCTATTGGACATAATCCTTTCTCACTTAACAGCCATAAACTCTCTTTACAAAATAACAATAACATGAAGGCACTGGAGAATGAACAAAACCAGGCTGACTCCAAAGGGGAATAGATACCTCGGAGCAAGGAATAACATGAGTTATGCTCTGTATTCCCTGAGAGTAATGTGCAGTTTGTACCATGCAAGATTGGGTAAAGTTCCAATAGAAAAGGTGCAGTCATTCGCATTTGAACAAGACAACAGAGTTTGAGGCAACCACAGCTCTACCATGAAGGGAAATCCCAGAAAACAGAGAGCAAGGGTTGGGGAGTCCCATATGCGGGGTATAAACTCTCCAAATCTCTGACTACCTCTCAACTAACACATTTATAAGACAGATTACTGTGGATAAAAGTGAACTAAGATTTAAACTACTACTCAAGGCACTAGAGTTTACAATTTAAATCCAACCAAGTGAATTGCCTAAAGTCATCACTCCTAAAAGGAATGAGAGAATCCAGTCTCCCGAACATAAAAGTAACTATATCCAAGAGACAATGAAAAACAACTGACTTCAGAGCCAGCCCTGCAGCCTGGTGGTTAAGGCAGATGGATCACACATGGCTGATCCTATGGTTGAATCTCACCCCTGGCAGCTTGAAAAATATACAGGTGTGTGTGTGTGCATAGGTACCCCAAATCCCAACAGGATGGAAAAATGGGGAAGAACGAATAGCTGTGTGACCACACCCCATGGTGAAGGGCTTTTTCCTTTGCTGTGTTTCTCTCTGATGAGTGCACATGCCCTCTGGCAAGTCAAAAAATAACTGCTCAAAAAAATGTGGCCCAATCTTAAGAGAAAAGACAGTCAAAGATAACCAATAAAGGGATAACCCAAATTTCTGAATTAGAATATAACATTTTAAAACATGTTTTTAAAAGCATATGGAAAGATGCAAAGGAAACAATTTCTGGGAAATTTCAGGAGAGAAAAATATAAAACAGAAGCTTTAGAACTGAAGAATATATGAAATGAAAAATCCACTGGATACATTTAACAGTTGGGTGGAGACAAAGGAAAAAGTAACTTGAAGATAAATGAATAGAAATTACTAATCTAGGGGCCAGCAGATAGTATAGCAGTTATGTTGCTATACTCACATGGCCAACTAGGGATCGAGTCCCAGATCCAGTGGCTTAAAAATCAAGCTGAACACTTGTGCATGCACATCTCAGATCCCAGGAGGAAAACGGAGAAGGGATTGCAGTGTAGCCATCCCCCTGGGGAGT